TGTATGTGTAGTGTAACATACACAAAATTTACATACACAAAAATTTGCAATAATTGGAACACTTTTGTAACAGCATATTTCTGAGAGTCAAATTAAGTCAAAAAGTCCTGTACTACTTTTCCCTCCAACAAACAGTTATCGAGATATTATAAGCTAAACATTGAAAAAGTTATAAATTTTCTCTCGAATATCTCAAAAAGTATTAGGCAAATAAAAAAATGTTTCAGACAAAAGTTGTTCATATTAATTAGTAAATCCCCCTCGAAACCCAATAACTTTTGTGTAGAGGCATTTTCCTCTATCACCCTTGAGAAGACAGTACCGTGTACAGATTAAAATGGTCCTTGTATATATATATATATATATATATATTCCCATAATATTAATACTTGAGAGACACAAGCCTCTCTCCCCTAAAATTTATCTTCGGTAGCTTATGTTAAGATTATTTTCAGGACTTCGTAACTCTTAATTTGAGATGTCAGGAATACCATAAGTTACTTTTATAACTCGCGGTCTAAATTAATCTCACACTTTGCGAGCCTGCGCTATTTCGTGCGATTTAACTTCCGCAGTTTACGTTTTATGGGAAGGCGAAAATCTGCGAAGAGGAGGAAGGCAAGCTGTGCACGCGACAGGATACGACCCGCGGACGCGTCGGAAATGGTCGAAATCCGGGAACTGGGCAGCGCTTCGTTAGGTCACCGAACGGACGTATTGAATTTAACAAAGCTAAAACTCACATTGCAATTCGCTTCGTCTTCGTCCCACTTGAAACGGCAGTTAACCTTGTCGTTGCATTTCAATTCCGCAGCGATGCACGTCGCGTCCTCGCAATCGTACTCGTCTTCCTTGCAAGCTGCAGAACAAAGAAAGAAAAACATCGCAAATATTGATTACTTATTAAACGAAGTATTAATTTAGAATGTAATTATTTAGAATGTTTCAAACGTTCGCTTTTATTTATAGATTTATTACGCACGCGCGTTTAACGTTAGATTTTAATTAGATTTAATTATACCTAAAAATTAATTTCCACTAAAATAATTGTAAAGTTCCTACCACGTATTATAATATATAACGTTAATATGCGTGAGATATGTAAAATTCTTATAGAATTTATAACGAGCTTAAATACTTGTACCGAAACGTGCTTCCGTAAAATAACCGTGATAGTCGACTCTTAATTCGCATGGGAAAATTGTAGCCTAGGGTCTTATCCTTCGACGGCGGTGTGTTGGAGTATAGTCGCGAGCAAGATATTAGTTCCGCGTTGGCGGCAGGTGTGGAAAGCCAGAAATTCTTCTCATGCCATACTAGAACCCGTGTGAATTCCGCACACGTAACTGCGATTCTGCGGGCCACCTCATTTAACATTCAGACAAGTGCGCTGCTATTAATTTGAAATTTGATTCCTTTACCCAACGATTATCCCCAACTCCTCGCTAAGCGTAAGATGCTTGTTGAATGAGGCATACATATAATTATAGGCTAAAACGCGAAAATGTAAGCCTTTGTCTTGTAATAATCCAATTTTCCTTACCCTTTTAGAAATTTGCCGACTGACGCATAAAGCACTTATTTTAAAAGCGAGAACTTACTTTAAGGGCGTAAGTTAAAATTTACAAATTTTATTAAAATTATATAAAACGTATCGATTTTCATTCGTATCTTATTTAATTGTATCGTATTTCAAAATTTTATTTGTTCCGCTTTAAAAATAGCTCATTGCCTGTTATTATTGGCAAGAAAACAAAGCTATGTTTAAAATTTTATTAAGCGATCTTTTATTACTTCGTATTTATTAAGCAGGTTTGTCCTCTGCGGGAATTTACAATACGGTTTGTTAACTCGAAACAAAAGTTGGCGTGACAACTACGTTGTTGACTGCTCAATTCGGAAGATAGTAAAATAAAAATTGATATACTATATGAGTTGGGTACATGTATGGGAAAAACAAATTTTGTGAAATTGTAGCAGACATTTCTGGAGTGCCATGTAGAAAATTTCCATGTTATCGTAACCGCAACAATAGACGTTTGTGTAGTTTAAACGACCAAAAGCAAATTGACGTTATGCTATCGCACTGTTAAAAACTGTTAGAAATATTGGTCACATGCAGAACGTGTTTCAAGAACACTGACCTTAATTTCTGGATTATTGGAAAATTTTAGAATCGATTTTTTTGTCCTAGAAAAAATTTTATATTTTTATTAATAAATAATATTTATTCGTTTTTGTTCCGAAAAACACTTTTTAAACAATTTTTACCACTATTACGTACAAAATTGAAACATTTCCTTTACAATATACTTTCTTTTTCGTACATGACTCATAACTACTATTGGAACGTTTAATTAGCAGATTATTAATTAGTTTGATCATTACATTAAAATTAGTTATTTATACGAATGACTTTACAAGATCAGTTAATTGGTAATTAGTTAGAGGATGTTATCTTTTGGCAATGAATAATTACAAAGCATAATATAAATCTGTATTTTATGAACTACACGCACGTATTAACTAAACTTAAGTATTCACGTTACTCATAGATGATATGCTGCTTATTTGGTTGCGTTATTATTTAAGATTTAAATGTTACTTGTTAAGCACGGATCTTTGTTTTAAAATTATATTAATAATCATGTTAATAATTATATCAATAATGCTAAATTAAATGATGCATGTAGCGTATTATGTATATTGATACAATCTATCGAATAACATTGTGCGCGATAGTTATTAAAATGCGCGGTAGACGTGCTAGATACGTAACATCATGAATCGATTATGTGCTGCTTTACGCCATAATTTCAGGTTTTAACCATATTTTATACTTTACTGTCCAATAATAAATTTTGAATAGCATCCTAATCTATTATGTGCATTTTAGGATGACGTTAACGTTTTAATGACAATTTCCTATTTACGATTTTGTTTCATGTTTGTCATTCCGAGAATGAGCTGGAAATCGCCATTGCATTCGTATAAACTCACATTTTTCACCGCTCTCCTTGTCCCTGACAGCGGTCATCACCACCTCGAAAGTGCTGTTGATGGCCTTCGGCTCTGCATAGAACCTTAAATGGGCGATGTTGGTTGGTACAATAACGGTGTCGGCGATACTGCCACAGAATTGTTTCACTCTAGAGGGTATGTCCGTTTGGTCTTTAAATATGTCTACAAAGTTGGCATCGCACTCGTTTGGATGCTGCAGGCTAAAGGGGTCCAGAACCAACTGAATCTGAAAATCGTACGTGTTTTCATTTCCCTGAATGCTCAAACATGGCACCTCGCCACCCTTGGGCGTTTGACATTGTAGATCAACAGTTTAAAAGATTCTCGCGGTACAATTAGTGACATACCGCTTTGTTTGTTCAATAACAAACATTCGTATCGAACGTAAGTAGTAAAGTGTACTTGGATCAAATAAGGATCGCGACGTTATATGACGGTAGAGAAATATTGGGAGAAACACTTTATATACTGTAATACTCATCGATATTAAATTTTCGATAACGATGCGATATAGTTTGATATTGTGCAAAGTTCGTCATCTAAATGTTAAAACTGTGTAATCACACGCACGAGACAAATTAATAAGTGACAATATATATAATATATATATATATATATAGAAAACTTGAACGTAAAATACAATAGGTTCGATTACGACATTGGCAAAACCTTTCGAGAACGTCATGGCTCGTAAGAAATACGCTCTTTGCCACCTTAATTTTTGTCGCGTATTCGAGAAAAATGGATAACTTTATACATAGTTCGGAAGATATACTAGCTTCATTAACAATTTTAATAATAAAGTTCAGGAAACTATAAGATTCTTCTATGTTGAGGCAGATGCCGTTATCAGCCGCTATGTAAATTTTGTAACGGATGTATCGCAGACAAAGTATTTGCATAAAACCACTCTGTTATTTCCGCGCTACGACGGTAAAGAGCTATTGTAAATCATTCAGAAACGTGTTACTTTGAACGAAACGGCGTTTGAAATCACGTTGCTGCAGGCCAATAACAAACATTCGTATCGATCGAACGTAGTAAAGTGTACTTGGATCAAATAAGGATCGCAACGTTATATGACGGTAGAGAAATATTGGGAGATACGCTTTATATGCTCTAACCCAACGATATTAAATTTTCGATAATGGCACGACATCTCTTTCGGTAATTCAATGACGTATAATATTGAAGAAGCAATTCTCTTACCTTCCATCCCACCTTCACTTGAATGATCCACATGCAATCCAACGGGAATCCTTCTTTCTCGGCCTGAGCCTTTCTGTCTTTGACATCATTGCTGTGAATTATCACCTGCGCACCCGTCACGTTAAATATGCACGGTTCTGGTTCCGGTAGTATGCCCGCTGTGAATCACACCTATTACAGTTCTATACTTTCCCCTAGGCTCGCATATCAACGCTCGTATATTTGAAACTTGTATTTCTCATTTGCTAATATTACAATATTCAAATTCAATTAAGATTTCTGTCCGATTGGTATTATTAATTAAATAAGTGAGGACAACATTTAAAAGCTTACTGCGTTTTGTAAGATGACAATCTCATAAAACAATACGTAATCTTATAAAAATGAAAATTATCTTGTTAATATGTGGGTTTCATAATTTTCTATATTTCAATATTTCGTAATACTTTATTGTTACAGATTACCTATATGTAAAACAATAATCTCGTATGCAAGAGAAGCAATGTAAAAGATATATTTTTATATCACGTTTCTACGCCAACATTTTTCCCGACTTTCAATTTTTTATACGTATACTTCATTAATTTTTTCCTTAACGAAAAATCAAACATTTAAGAATATATCCTGACAATATACGAACACAATACCAGGTTGTTTAACATCAGACATTAATATTAAATATTCAATGAATATTCAATGAATAATGAGTTAATAAATCGCGCGGCGAGATAAAAATTTCAACATTTGATCTTGTTGGCCGCAACCGTCTCTACCCTTCGCTTTGTACATCGATCTAAAGATCGCACGGTTAAAGCCGGAGTCAGTGTGGTCGTGCCCCGGGTATTCATAGTCCTTCCTTCGTCTTCCCGCCGGTTGACTATGAATTAATTTTGACCTCGGTTGCGGTTGCACGGCGCTTGCTGCCATAGGCCATCTATTTCTCTCGTGTCTCGTAATTTTCCGAATAAGGACATCGAAGATCGTCGATTATTCGCGATCGGAGAATACGACCCCGACTTATTAATCAGGCTCGTCACGTCTCTACTTTCTTTAAGTTCAATACGTCCTATTATAGCATAAAGAAAAATTACATCCACCGTACAGTTTAATAAGGACAGTTACATTTAATTAAAAACAGTTACAATTAATTAAGAAATTAAGTAATAAAAGTTATTGCTATAATAATAATAATACATATTAATATAAAAGTACTATCCTTTCCTCTGCATTTGCTGCTAAATGTTGTCTTCAATTTTTCTATATACTAATCATCTTTCTTCGTTATTTCTAGTTTACGCTTATCATATAATAAATAAGATGTAGTCTGCACAATGGAAGGATTCAGTTATGCTTTCATACCGGGTCGATTAAGTCATTATGAATCGTTAGATTAACAGACAATAAATTAGTTCTAATTGTCATTGTGTCGGTCCAATTATTTCAGCAACAAGTTTCCTCTCGAGTACGTGAGAATCATGCGAACCAACGTGAGAAACGGAAGCGCTACGGCGAGATCTCGTGTTTGTTATCGATCGGTTTAACTAATCCATGGTTACGCGCCCAAAGGATATATCTCACATCCGAGGAGAAGATTCGGCCCGCCGTAGATCAGAGTTAGAGGGAACCCACAATCGAAACAAATTTCAGGCGCATGGAAAGGACGAAAGCTCTCAGGATAGTATCAATAAAATCTCAGATTCCAGAAAATTATTTGGATAATTAATTTTCCTTGAAAACTATTTGTTGACCTTTTCAATATTATTTAAATAATAAATATTATTAAAATATTAGAGAAACGTAAAATTAATGTGCATTTATTGAAATAGTATTTTTTTTATTAAATAACACCGCGACATTTTATTATCTATTTGTTTGTTCGTGCTTTATTCACAGATTAAAAAATGATTAGTTTGAGTCCAACATTACATCTTAAATTAATGAGCGAAATTAGTTTGGAAAGAAAGTTTGTAGAGGAAGAAAAGCCCTGCGCAGCACTAAAATTTTATGACTGAGACTTACGATAGGTTGGTCTCGGTATCGTGTTCCAGACAGCCTTGAATCCCTTGCCCTCGATGTTCTCGTCGCTGTGGAATCGCAGCCAGAGGTATCGCGTCTTCGACGTGATCTCGGGGGGAAAATTCGTGCCGCAGAAGTTGCCGAGGAGATTAGAGTAACCGTGCTGACCGTCACGTACCTCGAGGAAATCGAAACGGCAATCCGGGCTGTCTTCGAGCTTGAACTCGTCCCGAAAGTCGAGCTTCAGTAGCATACCTTTGTCAGCTGAAACAAGAAAAGCCAGACGGGCGCCGTTAGCGAGAGCACCATACAGGAGGATGCAAAAGGAGACAAGTTTTGATCGCCCATGAAATGTCTAGAGCGCGATAGAGGTGACGAATATTTAGACTAATGAATACCCCTCGTTAGCATAGCATTGTTTAGTGCAGCGCTCCCTTTACACAGATACTTCTTAATGTTCTGTTCTATATATTGTTCTATGAGTCTATTTGCATTCGTAGAAAAATCGCTACCTTTCGTCATAAGCAAATTAAAGAAAATAAAAATTTGCTATCATTATTAGTCATTGGTCCTAGCCAATAAATAATTACCAGTGTTAAATTAGCAGCAAAATAAACAAGTTTAGATTTAGGTTGACAGGAAAAGATGATTTTGATTTTGATGGACCAAGAAAATGATATGCGGGCCGGGAATAACATAGGTCATAGCTTTTTAACTTTGAATTGGTTGATGCACACGATGATGTTTAAAATTGTGCAGCGAGAACAAGCAAATTTATTTTCCTGGCTGATTTTAAATGATAATGATTGCAATGATAAATATGTACTTTAACTACGGTTTCGGTTAACCAATAATCGCGATTAATATATAAATGTCGAGATATTTTGCAACTCAATGAGCCAATAATTATGCGTGCAATCTGATATCTGAAACGCTACGCGAACATACGCCCGCGTATTACATTATCCTACGTGATTCATAACATTATTATGCATAACGATTAGTGCTATAACGTTTCAATTATACTGGTTCTTACTTTGCTTCAGCTCTTCTTCAAAATTATAATTAGAACGGTAACTCGCGGAGCGTATTTTTATCTCTGCTCCTGCGAGCCCCGCGACGCGAACATTTTATGATCAGACGGATTACTCGACAAATATTCCAATGTCGTTAGCTCCGGAAGTCGGTCTGGCTCAAAGCCAAATTGTTCCTCAGGAACTGTGACACGAGGCTACGTTGTTTTCTTGTTGGTCACCACGTTTGCGCCACCGTAGCGCTTACAAAGCATTTTTTTTCGTGTAATATAATACTTGCGTCAAAAGGAACGCCAGTAACACACTGTTTCTGGAACACTGTGGTGATAAATAAACTGAGTTTTTGGAAGACGCAAAATAATTTATCGCGTTAAACAAGTATAACGCGGAACAGGTGTATCATTCTTTTTAAATAGTTCTCTTAATTCATACACACTTGTTCACCGAGAGGAAATAATAGTTCAACAAATAATAGTTTAATCTGTTATCACCGGGGAGCGTGCGGTAAGAAGGCAGTCTTCATAAAGTCGCCCGGGCGAAAGGTGTCGCAGTTATTTCCAGTAAATTTCTACCTGCGCGATGCGATCTATAATGAGGCCGTAGGGATGCAAATGCGACTTCACTTTCCCTGCACGTACGAAACTTATCCGAGAATTATTCAGACGGGACCGATCGTTAGGATACGCTCTATCTTCCGGCGCTAGTTAGATATCCCGGTTTCCCGTTGCACATCCGTGTGTTTGTCGGCACAATCGTGTGTGCCGTCGGTATATATGGACCACCAGTTCATTTGACTATGCGCATTTAGCCATCACCCTGGGCAACCGCAGAATCATCCTATTATCCAAGTAACATGCCCTTATACGTGTCTACACGTTATTGAAACCATGATTGCTAAACGTTTATTGCGTTCACACGTATGTGCAAGGATAACAAATTTCTTACTTGAATCAAACTATAATTCCGCTCGTACCTGCAGTTATTCGTATTCTCATTGCGACAAACATTTGTGGATAAATCCTGCAATCGAACGTTGTTTTGAATCATGAAATTTGTCTGATTTTTTTTATGATTTAGTTGTGCTGCAGACAACGGACCATGTGATGAAGAAAACGTTGACTCTCAACGGTTGTCGATATCTTTATCCTTGGATATAAATAGTTTTCAATGTATTCCTAAAAATAGTCTGTCTGTTCTAGACGTCAAGAACGGCGTACACAGTTACAGAGTTCTCTTGTCGAGTTTAGGTAAAATAAGTAATATCCTTAACACAAAAATTTTGTTTGTGATAAATATCTACGAAAAACGATTTCAGCGTGCCACTCGATAATGACTCAATTCGCCAGAAAATCCATTCTAAAATTGATTCGCACAAATACGTTTGTCTTTGCCAAACAACTTTCGGTAGAATTGCATGTATTTAAAGAATTCTCGGGAAAAAATTTTACAATGGTCATCACTGCCAGAATAAATATAGCACGTTACGATTTATATGTCTAATTGAACATCCTTAAATCAAAATACGTACAATTAATTTTATGGGATTTTTTTTGTTAAGAAAGATAAATATTTGTGCCCAATTACAGCTATATGATAAGAAAAAAGAATAATAAAATATTAAAATTGTAGAAATGTATATTTCAGAGCTGATAAAGTTTTATTCATGTCTTAATATGAGCTTGAAGAAAGTTTTAGAAACTTGGAAACAAGTTAGAATACATGAAGATCGTAAATGCAGAATTTGCATTCGCCCGTTCTTTTTCATTGTGCCATTGAAGAGATGCGTGTTCACTGCACGAAGCTTTTCCTATGAATGAAAATTTGGCCGGTTCCTCCGAAAAGCCCACGCATCGCATGACTATTCGCCAAGAAGCGCGTAATAATAATTCTACTTTCTTGTATGAAACTCGATTTTGTAGAGAAAAATCGCTATAACGTAAAGAATTATTTGACTCCAGTACATGATTAACCAATGTAGAAAATTGGGGTCGAATTGGTGAGACGCCCGCCTAGAGTGTAAGGAAGTCCAGGTTCAAATGCTGGCTGATATTTTTCGCAATAAATTTCTTTAATTAGAACTTGCCAGTTAGCGTCGTTTAGCAATTTTTCTAAAAAGATCGCTATTGTTGAGGTCGTGCTGGAAATATAGCGTCGATTACGGATGCCGCAAAAATCGCCGCACGTCTCTGCAACCGGATGCTCTCGCTTACGCGCGCTGCATTCGAATGACGACTCGATAGGTCCTTCCCCTGGACTTCCTTTGGCAAGGACGTGCACCCGAAACTAGCAAGAACGAAGAGAAAAACGGAGATATATAAACGGCGAGCGTTACAGCTCTCGGAATAAAAAAACTTCGATAAACTTCCTTCCAAGATCTTGTCCGCTGTTCAGAAGAAAACGTTGTACTTTGACTGTAATGTTTATTATGAAGAAAATAATAGAATTATGGTTTTTCGTGCAGTAGTGTGTTACAAAGACTGAATAATATAGCATATGCCTTTCAATGTTAATTAAAAAAGTTTTAACAATGCCGTGTATCTAAACGCATTGAAGTTTATTTATCCGGCCACATAAATAAAATTTTCCTGCCCTTTCCAGCAGCACAGAGTGTTCCAGAGTATCACGGAGTACTTGAAATCCTTCGCATTTTCCTCCTAGTGTGTATTTGATTGGACGCTATTTTTTCCGGAAACAATCAGTTACGCTCTGAGATTTTCTTGTTATATCTTAAATTCACCCTCTTGGATCATTTCTATTGTTTTTTGATAGGAAATAATGGAAACATTAAGCTATCGGAACATCGACGATAACAAGATTAAGCGACCATTTGCCGATACGCAGCAAGAAACCTTTTCACAACACAATGCTCTCGATAGCTCATCTCTCTTCTGTTTCCGCCGACTTCGTCGTCGGGCTGGGACATCGTTACGTCGACATAAGCCGTAACCCGCTGAATTTCATTTCGCTTGATAATATCTGGTCCGAGTTCGCTCGTCGGCGTGGCGCAGCGCGAAGTCTCATATCGTCAAGTCACCGCTCTAGTGACTCGAGCGTTTCCGCGAGGAAGACGGAACAATTTCTGTCACGGAGAAAGCCCCTCGCAGTCCCGCCGGAGAAATCCTGACGCCGCAGCCGCAACACACATAGTCACTTCATGCTGTCGTAGTTAGGCGCTGCAGCGTATCTGCGAGTGCTTCAATTTGTGTGTGGGTGCGTATCTTTATGCTCATATAAGACCTCGAGCCGCATTTCGTCTCCACCACCGAATTATACCACTTTGCCGTAACTGTCGTGGCTTGTATGGGTTTCTCTTGATAATGAACGGCACTTCTCTCCCTCTCTCTCTCTCTCTCTCTATATATATATATCCCCCCCCCCTCCCTCTCTCTCTCTAGCGAAGCCATCGAATTTTCCGTGGCGACTTAATGGGTAACCTCCGGAATGCCAAAGGACGACCCCGCAATGTGAGCCTCGCAATTAATGCCAAGAAAATTGGATAGCACCGACCTGGGGAGATATCGCAAAGCGATTGCATTGGTTTCACGTACATCGTTAAAGAAGCATGCAATTGCGGCGAGCATAATTTTTCCCGCAATTTGTGTAATTGGATGATATCGGCGGCACGATTTCACGTGAACGATACGGAAGTGCGCGATAAAAATAGATAATGTAAATTGAGTGAAAAGTTCGCTACCCGAATAATTAAAGGGAGAACTATTTTAAATCCGCCAATCTGGCGCTTCCGGTATCACGAGCAATTTCCTCTTTTTTGAATTCAGCTTTAAATAAACAAATTAAAAAATTTCGCCAGAAATTTAATAGCTTAGTTTATATATAAAAAAAAATTCAGCCAAAGCAGTGCAGCAACGAATATTGCTGCCGCGGCGGTTCTCTCTGCAAGGCAGGCAATAAAGCAAATAAATAGTTTTACGTTTAAAATAAAATACAGCATCGTAAAAAATAGAGAGTGGCTCTCTTCGAACGTTCCTTTTTTTTTCCTAGCGGTAGCCAGGATACGTGGTCCTCGTAGTAACGATCGACGCCTAGTAGCAGCCTCCCGAAGGGAGGCTATCGAATTTTCCATAGAGCTCCGTCGAATAAGGGTGAGTCTCGCATGGTTGCCGGAAGTTGCACAAGCTTAACCGCTCTGTTCCAGGAACTCCTGGAAAATGCTGCATCCCCATACCACGTTTCCTCGTCTGGACTGGATGTTTATTGCCAGCATGCTGC